CCAAGGGAAAACAAACTCGTTGCATCTGATTGGTCTTTTTAAAAATGTACAAATTCTCATAATACGAATATTTTGTCTGATGAGCTTTCGGTAACTGAGTACCTTCTTAATCTTATATTCTTGTCGATATTCATGGAGTTTAAGCCCGTTTCCTCATGCCAAATTTCTCATCCAAATTTCACGAGGGAAATACCAGCATGAGAAATATTTGTTTCCTCATGCCAAATTTCTCATCCAAATTAAACGAGGGAAATACCAGCATGAGAAATATTTGTTTCCTCATGCCAAATTTCTCATCAAAATTTCACGAGGGAAATACCAGCATGAGAAGTATTTGTTTGTTCGTTATACTCAGCAGTGCGTTTGCGCTTTTTGTCTACTTCTGCACTCTGAACTCTTGCAATCACTATGTATAGATATTTTAAGAGAGCAGGGTAGGCGCATGTAAAAATAGATTGAGACATAACAGATATTGAATGCATTAAATATGCCCTGACACGGCTCTTGGAACTTCTCTGAAAAGATCTAATACGTATCGGTGAATGTGATATAATGTTTTTTAAGCTGTCCACGACTTTTAAATTTTTGTTCTGTTCATTTGATAAGCTCGTCTATATATAAATCTTCAAAGGATGCAGAAAGGAATGATCAATGAACGAAAGGAAATGCTGGGCCAGTGGTTTATCTCATTTCGACATCCAAGTCATCTTCCCCACAATCCTCCCTCCCACTTCACGGCACAGAATTTACGGCACTGAGTAAGCCCTACTCCTCCAGGGCAGTGTTTTAGTAGGAAGTCCAAGGAAATTCCCAGACCTGATGAAATGTAATACATAGTACATTCCTTTACACCTACCAAGCATTCTAAATATAACCAAGCCACAGATCTCCCTCCAGTGACACGTCCACTCTCCGTTCGAGTGTGAAATCAGCAAACGTGTTTAAGGCGCCCTTTGAATCGTAACTTATTCAATCTGAATGCTGCCTTTGTCACTGTTCAACCAATTTCTCATGGGGGAAATTCCGGCGATTTTGCAATCCTGGTTGTGGAAATATTATATAGCTGCGTGACGTTTCCGCAAAATATGTCATTTGTTCTCTAGGAACAGACAAGAGCATTTACCTCGTTGCTAGAACTCCTTTCTCCAACAGCGACTCATCCAATCACTTCGTCGTCTTCAAAGTAGAATTAGCAAATTATGTAAGTACCCACATGCATATACTCTGTATGGCAATGTCAAGTAAAGCAATTTCCCAATTAGGTTGTGAAAAGCCCCGTGCCTCCCCAAACCGTACACACCCATGGCAATTTGTTCATAATTGTTTTTCAGGGCTGGAGATGTACCACCAGTTGGACACTTCGGGTTGCCGTTGCATACCAACACGGGAACCATTGTACCGGTCACCGCTAATTACAAACGAGGCGTCCTAGAGTATTACTTGAACCGAAAGGGAGACCGACCGGAACGCCACGCCCTCCGCAATCTCCTCGGCGTTCTGGCTTTCCAGCAGGGCCAAAGGGATCTTGCACGGCAGCATTTTGATCGCATTCTTTCTGAAGGGGAGGATCCGGGAAATTTGAATGCAAGAGCAAACCTTGACCACGTGAACACGGTGGTGACATCTGATAACGACTTGCCGGATCTGGAAACGGAGGACGGCAAGCGCCGACAAGCCAGACGCTACGCCGAACAGGGTTTCGCCTTCATGTTCGA